CACGGGTATACTTGGATAGGTCCAATTTGTTGGATGAAATGAGGGACAGTCCAGGGCAGTCAGACGAGGAGGATGGGGAGGAGGAAGGGTTGGGAGACGAGGGGGAAGGTGCAGAGTCCGCTAAGTTGTTGGCCGAATCGATTCAGAGGTTTGGAGAGATATATGAAAAGATTGAGGACAGTAAGAGGAAGCAAATGATGGAGTTGGAGAATATGAGGCGAGATTTTCAGAGGGAGTTGGAGTTACAGAAGAAGCAGATTGTTGAGCATGCGCAGGCCGAAATTGCTAAAGTAAGAGATATGGATGATGACGACGATGATGACGAAGATGATGACGACGATGACAACCATAATACTAATATTTCTGCGGACAATCTAAGGGACTGATGCAGGTAACTTTAACTCTTTCATAGTACTCGAGTCCTTTTTAAGACAGGGAAAGCATGCTTCCTTGGAGGGGAGATGGAAATGTTTCATGGTACATTTGGGTGCTTCTATTGGTTGCTTTTGTTTTATAACATCTCATCGTAGTAATATATTATGACCAATGACAATTTATCAACCATAGTTCTTGCCTTTGTTGTTACTTGTGCTTCAAGTGGTGTTATTGTCTTATATTGTTCTAATTGATTCGTGTGTGAACATACTATATTATATCTGTATGGCTCACAATGCTGATTTTGATTATTATTTGGTTCTGGCATCGTCCAATGCTAGAGAAACACACTACTTGCGTTATGACATAAATTTTAGCGAAGAAACTACTTCGGTAAAATTGTCTTTCGTCCTAGATAACCTAGTTCTAATAATAGTACATAAGCAATATTGATGTAATTGTTTGGGTTTCCTAGCCCTGTAATAATTGGATAGTAGCATAGACCTGTTTCATGGAATGTAAATAAAGAAGTGAAAAGTTGGTATGTATAGTCCAGTGTCTGGTACGGAGCACTAGATTTGGCATTCGAATCGTTTGATTCTAAATCTTTCCTCTCTTTATCCCTCACGAGACAAACCATTACTGAAACTACCCCTTTGCATGAAAATTGGTAATATTTCATTTTATTAGTAATTGATAAATCTCATAATCGCTGAAGAGCAATCTGTCTAATTCCTGAAAATGGCCTAATCATAAGCAGCCTGCCAATAATGTCAAAGGCAAAAGAGAGAGTTCTAGACATAGTTCAGACATTTCTATAATATTCTAACTATAATATTAGTCAATAAAGCTGTATACATTTCTTCTAGCAATATGAAAATAGGAGATGTAGAAAAACATCATTGGGATAAAAAACACTTGGAAGAATTTTATGTAATCAGCAGAAGCCACGCAAAAGCTACCTAATTAAAAGTTTTATTTCATTTATATAACTCTTCCTTTTGCACAATGAGATTGCAAAAGCCATGCAGAACTAATGACACATATTAAACTGACATAAATTTCCATTTATATCTAGCTTACGAAACATGCTTTGGAACATAATTGGTATTGCATGGATGCACGAGCTCATCCATGAAATTCAGTCGCTGCCATACATGTACTTAGTTTTGCATGGAAGCACAAGCACATCCATGAAATTCAGTCACTGCCTTACATTGTGAGAACTTCAACATCTTTCTTTTGGCTATGCTTCAAAAATTTTCAACGTGAGAACTGATTTGATAAATTTTTTTACAGAAAATACATATCGTAAAGGGTTGAAAAAGTGTATCAAAAAACCATTTTTGTAAATAATAATAATTTGGAAGAAATGGACTTCTCAAAAGACCATAGGTCCCGTGGTAAAACAAACAAATCTTTATAAATCAAAACAATCACTAAGGATAATTCAGATAACATTGTAGGAAAGCAGAAGGTATTAATGAAAGAACAATTTAGACGTGAAAAGTAGAGTTGAAGAAGTAACTGAATGTGCATCTTGTTGAGTAGAGAGATAAACTGGCTGCAGCTACTGGGTTGGCTAAATACATTGGCAAATGGTGGGTTCACACGATTCGTATGTGACCTAAATTAGTAGAGAAGGTTGGCTGCTCATCAAAATTACACGCAGAGATGCTCACAAGCTGTAATTAGTTTTATCTCTTGGCTTGCTGATTTTGTAGTCATCAGGAAATTGCTGAGTTATTTTTGTTGTTAATTGGAAATTTGCGGAGGAAACTGTAGGGAATTCTAAGCACTGCTAAAATCAGTATTAATTTTCTCGACTTAGTATTATTCCCCAGTGATTGGAAGAGAAATGGTAATCGTGAGCAGACAATCGATCTTGTGAATCACAGGTGTGATTGAAGTATAGAGTTCTCGGTGCAAGTCACTGAATAGTGTCATAGTCACCATGTGCTCAATATCCTAGCAAACACATTTCTGTTTCATATTAGTTTTATTCTTGACAACTACATATGTGTGCCGCTATTTTGCATTTATTTATATTGCTCTTTCTCTATTGATTAGAATATTTGCATCGTGTTGGTTTTTATGCTACTGATTGCATTGTCTTTCACTGTTTAATTCTATAATGGCACCTGGTGCAGTAGCTCTCACGTTGACGGTGCTTTTTCATTCTTCTTATTTCTTGATATTAATTGTTCTCTTTAATTTAGGTTATTTCTTTGATCCATAACAGTAATTATCTTTCGTGTTTTGTCCCCATTTACCTGTATATGGGATTTTGACATCATAAAATGGGGTAGCCCAGTCAATCTGAAATAATTAACTTACAGGACTAGCACATGACTGAATTAGAACAAGGGATATCATTCTTAATTTTAGGTATTGTTGATGGGCTTGGGCATTTTAACTGGAACCGAAAACCAAGAATCGATTGGGTCCGTCTGGTTGTTGAACCAGAACCGTGGGCACCCAAATGGAACCTATATATTTTTTTTTTTTGTTACAATTTGTAGGCTAAATGGGAAGAATACAAAATCTAAAATTCTAATTTGAGTAGTAATTTGTATAAAACTCTAGATTCTAATCCTAATAAGCTCCTGTTTGATGGTTATTATTTAGAAAAAATAATATTTTGAATAGTGATTTTTAGGAGAATGTGTTGTTAAAAAGTAGAAAAAAAGTTTTTGGTTTACGTGCTGAATATTTTAATGTGTGAATGTGTATTTGAAAATGAGTACGTAGAAAAAATAGTTCAAACAACGGCCATCAAACAAGGGCTAAATCAAGATTGGCACCTACTTTTTTGCATCTCGCCCCATATCAGATTATTGCATTTTAGATGTAAGTACATGTTAATATTTGTAATTTGGGCTTTATATGAATCAAAAGTTAGAGTTGTTGTGTAAGTTGATGAATAAAAATGTTCATCATTTGCAATTCGAGCTTTTAATTTTCTTACACTGTTTATAAATTTAAGTGATCTTTTAATTTTTTTTTTAGAACGAGTGGCAATTGAACTTGATATATTTATAGCTTACTCTGTAATGTACATTTTTGGTTATTTCAAGTGATTATCTTTTATAATATAACTTTTCATTTTCAAATAGAACGAGTTCGATATATTGATTGCGTTTTCTTGATATTACATAGTTATGTATATAAATAGTATTTTTTATGTCAATTCGTTTTAAAAATAGAAAAATTTAAGCATTGTCCATAATTAAATTATAGACTCTGACATACCTTACTTATGAATCAAATAAGATTTATTAAGAAAAAATCATTTGTCCTCAAGTCTTAATTTACTTCTTTGATGTTTTAATTTTTTCCTCTTGGTATTTAATCTTCACTATCTTGAGTCATGGATCTAGATTTCTCAACTTCTTGAAGATTTTTAGCTGAATTTTCTCATTGCACAAATATTGTCAAGTAGTAACATATTAGGTATACATATGGAAATGTTGTATATGAAAATATCTATTAAATATATATATATAAAAACATTATGGGAAGAACCGAATCGAACCCGAACAGATGATTCGGGTTTTGGTTTGGATGAAGTAATTACAATGAATTTAATGGTTCCATTTATAAAATACTCGAAATATAATGGGCGGTTACTCATACCGATCCACCCAACATCCACGCCTAATTGTTGAAGTAATAATTGGTGTATTTGGCTGCTAATATAAGACGGAAAGTGCATATTTTTGGTCACAAGTATGGGATATAACTGGATAATATAATAAATAAAATTTTAGTTTCTTATTCTTAAATGCTGTTCAGTCTTGTTGAGATCATCTAATCAAACATGCCAGAGTTCATTACAACTAACTTTTATATGGATGGCTTTATCTAATTGGACACTGTTTTTCCTGTCATAGTTTACGGAATATTGGGAAGATGACAATGGAATCCCTGTAATTGTCAAGGAGTAGTTCGTCTTCTGCAAAGCTCGAGCTTGACTACAACAGCACAGTATGTAATTGAGAATAACTTATGTAATTTTTTTTTCCTCTATAAATTATCGGCTGCATTCCATTTATTTAGAATTTCGGGTGGTTTACAAATCAGCGTAACGTGAAATTCCTTTGAATAATGTTATTTGGCAGTGCAGCTGCAATTACTGTTGGTTCTTTTTATGTCCTCAAGATAGCTTATCTTTTAAGTAAAACCGTAAAGGTTTAAACATGTTTGGATATGTTGCTTTTTGTGAAAAGAAATAGCTTATTTGAAAGCAACTTTTAGGTCATTGTCAAATTAAGTAACATTTTCAATGCTGGTCGATAAGGAAAATCACTTGTTTATTTATATGTGAAATTAAGCTTAGCCAAACATGATCTAAGTAAATCTTGAAACAAAAATGATTTTTTAATGGTTAATGTCATAAATAAGATTTACTTAAAAAGTAACTTCCACTTTATTTAAGAATAGCCAAATATGTCCTCGAGATAATAATTACTTGTATTTCATTCAAGAGTAAATCGAATATTATGGCTACCATTGACATAAAAAACTTAAATATGCCATCAGATTACTTGTTACAAGATAGAACCCACCGTTCATGGACAAAACTGGGGTTTTCATTCATCATAAGAAAGAGAACAAGACCCTTTTCAATTAAGTGACTTGTAAGAGGTTTTCAACTCATGCCACATGCAAAATAGTGTATCAAAAGCATCATTATCAAGATTAGTCTCACCTGACTTTGCAGTTGTTAGAAGGGCCTTCAACCACTCTTCATGCAGTGTTGAGAACTTTACCCTTTGCTCACTTGACTCGAAACTTTCTCTTACCTTATTTTTCATAACATGACCAGCCTTTGAAGCTGCTTCGACTACCAGTCGAGGAATCCCGGCCATAAGAGCTACTTGCATTCCGTAGCTTTCTGAGCATGCTCCAGAGGCTAGTCGATATAGGAAAACTAGCTCCTGCTCGACTCCAGAAGACATTTCAGATTTTGGTATCAAAGAAGTTGCCATATGTTGCATTGCAACCCGAGGATGAGTACCAAACTCCTTAGTGAGAAGGTGATAGTGTGTGGCAAACAGTAATCGGCAATTCACCTTCTCAATTAGATGCCGCAATACCTGGACAAAAAGCACTAAATTCAGTGTCTACAAGAAATAGTACAGATTATTTACAGCATCAAATTCTCCATAGTCATTCACATTGCCCCCCATGAATTGCCATAGCTTTTAAACTGATATACGTGAATATTTCCAATAGTGTTATTAGAAATTAATATCTTTCCAAGGAAAAAAAGTGACATTTTCTAGAAACCTAGCCCCACCTGGAAAAAAACATATTTACCTTTCACATTAAGAACGAAGAAAACAAAGTGTAAGCAAACAGATAAATCAAGAAACGAAATCTCACAGCATATGCAATAGCATATCCATCGAAGGTGCTGGTTCCTCGACCCAATTCATCGAGAAGAACAAGGGAATTGTGCGTAGCATTTTGCAAGACCGATGCTGTCTCTGTGCATTCAATCAGAAATGTACCTACAGAAAACAGATGTTTTAAACATACAAGTCGCAAAAGTGGGAAGCAAACATCACTCTTTGTATTGTGTCATTCTGGTGTAGTAAATTAGCGATGAAATTTAAGCCTATAGTGAAGACTATAATGATGAAGAAAACAATAGTGGTACAAACAACATGCAGTAAGCTTATAGCCTATAGTGTGCTGTTAGACAGAAAGCTACAGAATGAATCTGCACCTAACATATCATGAAAATCCAATATAACACAAACCAATTCTCAATAAAATGAAGGAATCATGTTCTTCAAAATAAATAATAAATGTGAAGAAATCATCTTTTTATTCTTAACAAAATCAGAGATATATATACTCGTTGAGTCTCACTTTACCACAAATCTATCTTCACAATCTCATTTTAATTGAATAATACTACGTAAGTAGATGGAAGCAAGGTGTACACACATTTCTGTCTAGGTGGCTAAATGCCTATCCTTGCATGTGAATAATTCTCAACGGTTCTTGATTCTATCAGTGCTGAGCATACAAATAATCCATAACAGCCACCAGGATTACAACAAGATGCACAAATCTGACATTTCTCAGCCATGATGATTTAACTCACTTCTATCCAGCTATATTCTTCCGAATATGATGTCACAAGAACAAAATGGAAATCATGCACTCCTTGTACCCCTTTTTCAAGTCACTTAGGTTAACCTCATTTCTTTATTTCAAGGTTTAGACTTTGTTGTAAAGAAATATGTTGATAAAACACATAAATCTAATATGACGAAAAAACTTACTCTCGCCTGTCATGATTCGATCAGTGGCACCAAGCCGAGTAAATATGGTATCTACGAGTGAAAGAATGCAGATTTCACAAGGCACATAACATCCTAGCTGCAGCACATAAGGTCCATACAACCAGGACAAGTTAAATTCAGAACCCAGGGAAACAATAAAATGTGAGAATACAACAGCTTGAAAATATAATGAAGAGAACCTGAGCCATTATTACAGCAAGGCAAGTGGCACGCAAAAGGGTCGATTTTCCACCCATATTTGGCCCAGTCAAAAGCAATGTGCAAGGAACATAATCATTTCTGTAACCTCCAAGATGGATATCATTGGACACAGGTAATCCCCCATACTGACCAAGGGTGTAAGGATGCCAAAGCCCTTTCATTTTAATTATAGGGCCTGTGACTTCTTCACACAAATTTGCGGATTTAGAATGAGGCAAAATCATAGGTTTACACATAGCTCCACATGAAGAAATAGCAGTGACTGCAAAAGATCTTAGTACATCAATACAGTTTATGGCATGTATGACTTGAGACCATTGGGTGGCCTTCTCCATAAATATATCCATCAGAATTACTAATGTTTCTGACTCTGAGTCTGTGACATCATGGTTCTGTCCACAACAAGAACAAGAAATCAATTGCATTAATCCATATTTTTCTGCAGCACTCGAGGGCTAAATATAAAGTAAACAAGATCTTCCACACAGTTAATGTTAATTATTGAGAAAATTGAATTAATGGAATCAAAACTATTTTCCCTAAGATCTATTGGGATGATATAAAAATATTTATTTTCTAGGAGGGAAAACAAGAAAGAACTCATTGTTTTATGTAGAAGAATCACTTAAGGATTATTCTGAAATTCAGTTCACAATAACCTCTGGTTGTAACAGCATTTTTTGGACAGACCATACAACTATATGCTTCATTAAAGTTAGTTAGATGTACACTTTCCATGATGTGAGGCCATGATATGAAAAGTGAATATGATTGTATTATAAAGTAATACACACTTTAACCAACCAAGAAAGATCTCTGCATTACATATTACTAAATACTTTCGGTCTTCAGTTAAAAGACATTAACCTCTGAAATTCTTGAACCAAAAAATTAAAAATAAATCAAACCTGATAATTAGGGAAGTCACTATCTATAGCTGCCTCAAATTGGGTAAGGAATTTATCGAGCCCATCACTTCCACTTAGAATAGGAAGGCATACGACTTTTGACAATGAAGAGACCATAATTCCTTCCTTTTGTACAAGCATCAACAGTTCCATCCCAATTCGTAGGCCTTTAACTAGCAATCCAAACACTTTTACCTGTAGCCACAAAGAATAGATTCAATAATATTTCATGCTGTGCAGCAGTTAAATAAATATCAGAAGAGGCTAATACTTTTTCAACCGACAGCAAAGAGAAAGCAGTTACTGATGATCAACAACAGTAAATACTATTGTGCATATACTATGAAATAGATTATAGAAGTACTCACTCGCTGTTTCAATACTTTGCTGCCTATCAAGGGCAACGATAGTAAAGCAGAAGACTGCATGCTGGACTTTGCACGCCCAAGTAACCTTTCCAAATCTGGAAGCTTGCGAAGAGATTGAGCAAGGAGTAACATAATATCTGAATGTGACATCAGCTTCTCAACTACCTCAAGTCTACTGTTTATTTTCTCAACATCATTGAGAGGATGACATATCCAGTTCCTTAAGAGCCGCTTTCCAGATGATGTCATGCAATTATCAAGATATTTGTACAAAGTGCCTACATCCGCACAAATTTCACTTTTGTAATAGGAAAACACAAAGCACAACAGGAAACACAGGAAAAAAAGATAAGATAAAAACTGACAAAAAGAGATATAGTTGCATGCCTGATGGGCCACCATCGGCATTATTATTGAAAATCTCAAGATTGACTAGCGTCTGGCCATCCATTCTAAGGCAACCCCTGTAGACTTCATATGGTATAATATCACCATTATGAAGGGCATCATCTAACTGCTCAAGAACAAGGTATGTATAGCCACGAGGTATGAGCATGACAGATATTAATATTTGAAATCTTGATAAATGTTGCAAATTGAAATGTGTGGGTTTACCTTAAATCGGGATAAATGATTTATAAGTCCACCAAGAGCGCATAATACAAGATCGCCATGCATAACTCCATCAAGTACATGATCCCACCTAATGCAAGATCCTCTGAAGTATCCTTTTGACTGAATGAGATTTCTAACTTCCAAGACCTCGCCAAAATCGTGACCAGGCTGAGCAGGACTCAATTCCGACAGATTTGATCCTACGAGTAGAACAATCAAAAAAATTAAAAAAAAAATTGTTAAATCCTATGGTTAACAATTTCCTATATCCTGACAATTCCTTGTTTTTCTTATAAATAAATAATTCTGGTTCAACATCGAGATAGAAGACCTGAATGATTGGATAGCAAAAGCACAACACAAGTCCAACAAAATTTACCATCAGGAGACAGCTTTTCTAAGAAAAGGATAGAAACAAGTTTCCCCACAAACATCTCCTTTTTTCACGGACTGTTTTAGAAGAAAAGCAAAGAGCAAAAGCTAATTATCTCAAACTCAGAGAATGGCCAATCACATTGAGTAGCTTGCTTGTAGGCATCTGATATAACCAGTGACATGGGGACTTTTAAAGTGATAAACATATTAATTCAACATTCTTCATCTTTCAAGCTGACATTTTTAAGCTTTATCATCTCAATGGTGAATATGAAATATCATCTAAAACATTTGCTTTCAAACTAAGAATAATGTGGCTGTGAGAACACACCAAACTCCTTTCCGTCATAAATCCAGTATATAGTAAAAAGAGAAATGGTAAACCCCATCTATAAGATTGTATTGTCATTTGTTCACTAAACTAGAGAAAAAAGGGAATTCAAAACGAATGATGAAATGGATTTCAAGGAGACAACAAGCAAAAGCAAAATCATTACTTCTGATTTTGTTCTCTACCCTCTCTCTGCCCCTACTTATAACCCATGCCAGAGAGTGATGATGCCAGTTTTCACGCACTGCTTCCAATACCCGAGGATCCCCTGAGTTGCCAACAGCTAGAAATCCTTTCGGATTTAGTACTCCAAACACAAAAAGATATTCCACAGATCTGAAGTTTCATTAGTCCTTACAATGTAAAGGGAAGTGATTCACATCTTCGCCGTGATTGTTACACATAAAACATCAGCTAATACAAATTATTTTACAAGGATAACATTTCAAGACGAGAAAAATGAGAGCAACCTGGAAATTTGACAAAACATAAAAACTTTATAAAACAATAGAACAATAGAAAAATCTCATATTTTCAAAAATTAAATGGAATCCAATATCCTCACCAGCTACTGTGTACTTTTTAAGTGCTTTCTGACCTTCTTTGGACAGCCCTGTAGTAAGAATTAAGAAGGCTATGATAAGCAAAAGCTTCAGATTGTTTTTCTGACAACAATAAAAATATTAACAAGCAAAATTATCACCTCTTGTTTCATATATAATTTCCTTTGGTGACACCTAATAACAGAACCAAAGAGAACATAAGATGCACTATATAATAACAAATCCTAAGTCAATGAGTAACTCAAACAAAAATTTTAGAATAAAAAAGCATACTTGCATTAACAAAGCCCCCAAAGCTGCACAGGATGCATCATCGCTGATGGAACCAACGTAAAATTTTAAAGCAGCACAATCCACGAATGCAAAACCAAATACTGTTGATCCATTCTCCAGCAAATGGCCCTCCTATGTGCAGAAATAAAAGAAACATAGCTCAATTAGTTCCCTGGTTTTTTGCAGAAATGTGAATATAAATGTGTCTTGCATGCAGAAAAAATACAAGATTCAGTACTACTGAATTTCATAAAGAATTAGAAAATCGTAGAAAAGTCAATCTGCAAGAACGTTATATTAACCTCCTTTATGGCTAGAAGATGAACTGCATCTGGCCCAATATTATTCTCAGTAGTTGATGGTGTTAGTACGTGAACCAACTTCCTTTGAATAACCTGAGAAAACCATTGTTGCTTATCATTTTATAGGATGGCTATTTCTCAGTGTTCTTAATACATGGTACACTGAAATTAAGAGAAATTCAGAGGGAAAAGATCACATTGAATGTAGATAGCATAATGTGTACCCCACTCTCGCCCAACCCTCTTTTTCTTTCTTATTGGGGTTCAAAGACTACTCAAAATGGAAAATGCAACTTTTATCAGTTACTATGACTATGATTGCTCTTTTGTCGTATTCCGAGTAGCAGATAAGAACAGGTCCTAATACAACATCTATTACTTAGTTTGTGGAACATAAATATAAAAGGAGGAATCACCCTTACATGACACCACACCAGAAAATCGTGCAATGGGTGACAGAATAGGTACAATTCAGACGTTCATCAAACTTACAGAAGTAGCACCTCTGGATTTTGCCTGTGCAGATGTCTCTAGTTGTTCCATCCGCCCAACCTTGTACCTTACAGTAAAAATATGAAAAGGTACCAAAGCTACATCACACATAATAGAAAATTAAACAACTCCAGAAAATGTAATTAACAATTTATTGTACAAATAGCCCAAGAAAAGAATAATGAGTCAAATAAAAACTTAACTTGTTTATGAAAATAAATAAAGGGAAATTTTTCTAACCAATAATGTTTTATGGCACAAAATGAAATTTGTCTCCCGCCAAATTTTATCTGATACATCCATTTGATCATGCAAAATGACTGTAGTGCCCTTTACTATATTGTCCTCTAGTCATTCTAAGCAAAATGACGAGGAAGACTAGAGTGTCTAGACACAGCAGAAACTCTAGTCAATTCTCTGCCCAGTTTGATGAGAATGCTAGATGGTTTGAGATTAGAGCAAAGAGGAAGAGAGAGTGTCAATATGGACTAAGCATTCTCGTCAAGTTTGCCTAGTTAGACAGAATGCCTAGTCCCTATATGGTTCCAAGTTCATGCAAAAAAGAGTGGGGAGAATTTGGTAACAATTTTTAGGAGAAGGGTATATCAATAAAAATTTTCGAAAACATGGACATTATTTACTAACCAAAAAGTAGTGGACATAATTGTTTTCTCACTCTAATGGTGTCCAGTGGATGAAATTTCTTCATAAATCAGCAAGTGAATTATGTCTCTTGATAAACCATGTAACCAAAAATAAACAAATGACTTCACTTATCAAGAAAGAGGAATTGCAAGAAACGTAACAAGTAACATATTTCAAACCACATTCTCTTCATTAAGTGAGTTGATTGGGGGTTTCATTTTAAACAATTAAATTGGGCTAAAAACAATTCTCATACCCACGAGCTATCAACTTCTGAACAGCTTCGTCAATCCCACTCTCAGATATGCCGACCTGGGCAGATATTAGAAAAATATAAGAGATCACTTGCAGAAACAAGTGCATCTGTAACTGAATTTAAGGTTACCTGTCGACATTTTCCCACACCACTTAGGGTCATTTTCCAATCAAGTTCCTTGTGACCAATTTCAGCATCTAATTCATAGAGCTCATAAAATTTTCCCTGCGTGAAAGTGAAAATCATAATGTGAAGAAGTAATATAACATTTAGATAAACAGTGAAGAAAAAATATCTTCTTGTTGATAGATAACTGAACATGCCATATAACATCGATAGATAACATCAAATCAACTACATAAAAAGAAGAAAGACTTAATGCATGAGAAAGACAATTGTGACAAAACTGGGCTTCATGTTAGTTAAATTACTTTTGTATCTTTATTCTTAAAAAAATGATCTTCCCCACTACATCCAAATTTCAAGCACAAAATGAAAATATAATATGTCAACATGAGGCAAAAAAGAAATAAAATGGCGCATGAACTCTCACAGATATCAATTCATATATTTGTCATCATTAACTTGAACCTTAACGTGTATGCCAATATAAAAAAACTATGGCTGACATGCTCCCTTTATTAGTCTCTACTTAACTATCCTAAATCATTGAAAGATCAAGATCTGAATTCAATTAAAATCTCCATCCTCACTATTATAGAATGTTAAACCAGAGGCCTCAATAAACTGACCACTTTAAAGAAGAGGACCACATCCATATACTGACGTTTGACATCCCAATACTGCTTCTGAGATGCTGACATCTTTTTCAAATCGTCAGGAGGAATGTAAAGCGTCTTCTTGTCATAAAGAGGATTGTCTGGCTTTCTTTTGTTGGCATCTCTGATTTGAGAAGGATGAAGCCATTCAAACTTGCTATTTATTTCAGAGACATGTTCGTTAACTTTATTTGCCTTATTGGACAGCTGACTAAGTTTTGTTCTTTTACTAGCATCCGGTAATAAACAGTCACTTATGTCCTTGAAATTACACATGTCCTCCTGGACTCTCTTTAAACGAGGGACAAGAGTTGCCATGCCCGGTGTGACTGGCCTAGAAATATCATCAATATTTATTAGGAATGGGCACTCTCTGTCCCCTTCATTATACATGGTTTCATTGGCATTGTGAACATTTTTCTTGGGGAGATGCTCAGGAAATAAACATGCATTGGCCAGTTCTTCAGGTACAGCATGTTTTATTGGAAGGGAGAAGGCGCCAGAAGAAGTATCATTCGCATGGAACCTGCAAAGGGAAGTGGGAAATGAAAACACTTCATTACAAGCATGTCCATGCTGGAATTATATGCATTTTGTCTAGCTAGGAAATTACTATAAATTTAAAGCAAACAATGAATACTTGTTAGAAGGAAGCTTCAACCAGGATTAGTCAAATATTTCCACTCATAGAAACTACTAGGAAAAATGCAGTTGTAGAAGTTAATATTTGCTAAATGAATCAAATAAATTAACCATATTCTATGCATTTCACTTTACATAGAGGTAAACGCTAGCATATTTATCTGAGCACTGAAAATGTTTAATATAACTATATTTTACCAATTGCCTGTAAAATGTAAATCATCACTAGCTAAGCAAACATTAAATCTCAAATGATTTGACGAAAAGTATGCAATAAGGTTAGTATTTTTCCTCACATCAAATTATGCAATAAGGTTGGTAATTTTCCTCAGTCTGTAATTCAATAGACTGTTTCACTGCTGTAATTCAATGTTGACCCATAGTACGAAGTAAGACCACTAAAATTATCATATAACCAACAATAAATTTCTTGACCTCTATATTAAATGCTAGATTAAAGTAATCTGTAGGATGCCAGTCGCTTGAAGCATAAAGTTACTAAAACCATGTTTTTTGCTCGTAGCTTGCACTTCTCTGGAAACATCAATTGTCATATAAAATCTACATTGCATAACTTCGGTTGATTGGTCCTATCACAGTATATCATTCCAAAAAAAGTATCACAAGTTTTTTTTAAAAATAAAAAAGCCTACTCATAAGTCCAAATAATTAGCATAAGCAACTATGCCTTTCGCTCGTAGCTTGCACTGCTCTAGAAACATCATTTGCCAAATCGACATAGCACTTTTGGGTTCTATTAAAGCATTCCATTCCTAAAAGATCAGAATATTTTTTTTTTCTCAAAAAAGTGCCTATATTTTTTCATAATTTCTTCTCAAAAATCTTAAAAATAATAAAATAGAGACTACCTGTCAGCGGAAGGTTTTTCTCTGGTGTCGGGTTTCATGAACTTGTGCTTAATGCTTGAGAAGAGAGAAGACCTGGTGGGGGTGGTGCTTTCGCCGTCATTGACGGCGAAGATCTGACGAGGCAACTTCTCCGGTGGAGTCTCTGTTCCTCTTATTTCTTCATCCGAGACATCTCTAGCTTTATTTAGTACGGCGGCGTTTTGATTAGGCTTTTTTCCCTGAAAAGAGTAGGGCGGCCGGCCTTCCAGTTCTCCTCCGCCGGAATTTTTGTCCTCCGGCGCGGGCCTCTTTAGAAATGAGAGAATGGATTTCTGTCTCTGCATTTTGCGCGTGAAGTGGGAGTGAGAGAGTGGGAAGGGTCTCAATTTATTAAAGAGATGAAAAGAGTATTGGCGCCAAAAAAATTAGGGCCTCGAGTATACAAGTCCCATTTTGTCTACCAGAAATTGAGTAAGGAATAGTATTTTTTTGAAAATGTGTGGTTGAAATTTAAAGTAATTTTATTGGATTGTGTATAGAATATTTTATTGAGTGAATATGTGGTTAAGATTATTTACGGTAGAAAACAATGTTTATAAAAATGGTAGACAAATAGGGGCTTAGACTTCTGTACCATGGTCATCTTGATAATGTGTAATTTCATTTATTTTATTTTCTTTCACGTCGTTCGATATAATTCTAGACATGTTCACTAAGGGTATGTTTGATGGATATTATTGAGAAAATAATGTATTTTAAATAGTGATATGATGGAAAATATGTAATTAAAAAGTAAGGAAAAAATTATTGATTTGATAGAAAATATTATTTTATTGAAAAATGTGTGGTCGAAAATGAGTTTTGAAATAATGTATTTTCAGAGAATGTGTGTCAAACAGAGACTAAATGAACTTTTGTAAATATTGTCTATTTTAATTAATAGAATAATATTTTCAATCTACATTAGCATTCGATGTGCTCTTATATCAAGCATGAAAAGGAGTATCGTCTAACGGGGTTAAAAAAATAATATTATTCATCATTGTTGGTGCTTGTTTGTTCTAACTTTTCAAATTTATTAAATGATCGAACATAATTTTTACCCACACATTTTATAGTTTAAAAGCAAAAATTACATGGACAAAGTGGAAACCCGAATATTTCTTACGTATTGATAATTTTATTTAGGATAATTATATTACCACTACAATTTTAAAATCTTCTTAAATTAACCCCTAAGTAAAACTACATAAATAATCACGCTATTGAATTTTATTTTATTTTACTAAAAGCATATTTTTATTTACACCACAACCATTAAAATGTCATTTTCTTTTTCCTTTTTTCCCGACGATGGTGGACGGTGCAATTATTTTTTTTCCCTAACCAACGGCATTTTCTTTTCCCTCGCGATACTTATATTTCTTTTTCAAGTTACGGTTATGGTGTATTGTTTGCTTTATTTATAAATCTTGTGATGCATATGAAACGTAAAGATGATAAATAATTATAATAATCTAACTCGCGATTGGTGGAATTTGTTCGTGCATAATTAGAATAGAGCAACAAAAAAAAAATACTGTGAATTTTTTAAAGGAATTTTTGAAGGTATGAAAAATAAATGAGTTTTAGGTGCATTTTGCTTAAAAATAATATTATCTTTGCATAATTAAATGAGAGGGTAAGATATTAAAGAGATGAATGATGCTATGTGGCATAAGAGCCAATTCCAAACAGCTGGAGGATGAAATTATCGCTTTAGAATAGTTGGAGGGGAAAAGTTTGGCATTTGAATTGGTACAAGGAAAAAATTGTGGCTTCTGACTACTTTTGAGGATGAAATTGCAGATTCTGAATACTTGGAGGATTGGCGCTCATAAATAGATTGAAAACGAAAAGTTTTTCAATGATAAATCCACCATCTATACTTACACATCAACTTGATCCTCAACTATCGGAAAGGACATAATAATCATTTACCTACCCAAAAGCATCCACAGGGTCCTTAAATTATACGGAAGGATCAATTTGTTCCTCCAACAATGCAGAATGATGATGTTGGTCCACAAACTATCACGAAATATCAATTTGTTCCTCAACCTATCATGAAGCTTTAATTTGGTCCTCCAACTATCGTTAAATATCAATTTGTTCCTCAACCTATTGTGAAGCATTAATTTGGTTCTCCAACCATCCTGAAGTGCCAATTTCATCCTGCATGCGTTGTCAATGGCGATGTTGATCTTCCAAATATTCTAAAGAGTAAATATATGAAACATGTTAACTCGGTCCTTCCAGTATCAAGATAGGTCAATTTGGTTCTAAACTATACTTAAAACGTCAAACTTGGTCCTCCAACTATCCTGAATTGTGAAATTGGTCCTCCAACTACTGAAATAGATAACTTAATCCTCCAACTATTATTAGTGGTCGAGTTAGCCCTCCATTTATACTGAACACTCGCTTATTTGATGCATGATAACTTGTGTAAATTGAATGGATGGAAATGAAATGATGCGACAAGCACGACGATTTAGATCTAAATTTCTTTATATTCCACGTTCTGTACTTGATAACAATCGTTTCATAACTTTTAAATTGGATTGGTTGGGGGCATTATGAAAGTCGAAGACTGATGATACTTTTGAAAGATGAGGGAGCTATTCGGAATTTACTCAACCATTCACAGCGGAATTTAAAATTAATTTCAATTCCCATCAATGATATTTTCTATGTTTAAAAAGAATGTGTGATAGGAATTATATTTTTGTTGAATTTTGAAAACTCATTTGTTTATCTTGAACACAAACAATCACGATCTACAATTTACAAATGTCCAACTGTCCAGCATCCAATGAAAATCCACACAATGAACAAGAATGATAGAATTAGAGTTTTATTTTTCTTATGTTAACAAGATAATGAATTGTATTATTTCTCAAACCCTAAGAGCCTATTAACAGAGGTTTAAGTGGACTTAGTCTGTCTTATAAACTTAATTTGGTTTAATATTTAATTAATCTAATTAGTTAAATCTGATCCACTAATTAATTAATTCAATTAATTATCCCGACCCTATTAACAAGCAACATAATTAATTAATTATCAAACGTTTGTCAATTAATTAATAAATATCATTATTCTAATTCTCATTTTATGTGTGTTATGTTAAGTTTCCAATCACGACGCCAACAACTTTGATTATTATTTCAATTTAATCAAAATAAGATACATTAAATCGCCATTTTAATTTATCATTAATTTACCTGCATTAATTAATTTACATTAGTCGTCCCATGTTGATATCTAATAACGTGTCAAGCGATACATGTAATGGAAAATGTCATGTGGTATGACAAAATCAAGTTAGTCCATTTACCGTAAACTATAATTCATTTGTCAATATGATCCAATCAATTGCGAGATATGAAGTGTGTCATCTCGATTATTAATCATATCTTTCATCCCACCATTAAGTTAGTATAAGTCAAAAGTTATTTTCGTCTTATGAGTGCATATTAGTCAATAATTTTGTTATCAACTTAACTGAATTGACATAATCTCTTACTATATAAGAATGACGAATCATCTATTAATTATTCATGACGTTCATATGATTATTAACATACTCGAACAATACCGTATCAGGGACCATATAATACACTATAATGACATCAAGTCGAATGACCATTTTCGCTATTGAACGTTTGATATTAGCCATCGACGCTCAGATAGTTATCCATGTGGAATCTTTTAGGCAAGTCTCAGACATTTTATTCTATAACAAAACATTCAAATGTTCATTTAAAATGTCACTACATTTTAACTTGTGAGATCAGCCACTCACTTCAAATGTAAAAAATGCCGCACGTGATGATTTATCCGTAATAATAATATATGTATCTCGTTATTACTCACGACCACGGATGATTTAAAATTCAGTTATATATGGAATTCTTGGATCGTGGGGTATGATAAGGTTACTCAATAACCACTTCAATAGCTACTGTACTGAATAGCCATAATACCTTATATTCGCTCAAATCTTGTGCGACTCAAAGGTTTGAGCGAGAACGAGATCATCGCTCCGGGCGACAGTAAGGTACTCCATTCGCTCAGATTTTGGGCGTCTTACAAGTTTAAGCAATGATAGTACTTTGTTCATGAGCCTCTACTGCATTCCATAACGGTCATATTTGGGCCTTCATCCTGAGTTTCCTAATTAGATTTCATTACTTGGATTATTCAATTTGGACTACACTTTTTATATGTCAGCAGGTATAAACGTATCTTCTACACGTCATAAATTGCTTGACTTGTGTAGTTTTTATTCCATTATAATTTTTTTCGATATCTCTTACTAAAATAGAAAGGAAGGACTCGGGGCTAGATCAAGTTAGATTTGGGGTAGAAAGCCATAAGCATAGTGGGAGTGACCGAGGACGTGCTCGTACAGTTAATAGAAAAATATGATAAACCACTTGATTGTTGAGAACTTTGACTTTTCTACATTCGTCTAAATTTAAACTTTTGGTTTTCAAACTCTCGTGTTTACGTAATTCTTGAAATAAAATTGGACTAGAAATAAAATAAAGAAAAACCTCCCAGTCATTGTGGCCCACAAACTATATAATAATCCAAAGTCCAAACCACACTTATGCTCGCAATTAAATCATTTGTACAGAACTATTTCATCTGTAAAAATGTCAGAATACTCACATGAAATGGGCCCATGTCAATAAAATATTATTATAAAAATGGGGCCTATCCCCCATGTGTGTTCTGTTATTTTTACAGATTTTTTTTTTTTGTAACAGTAGCATTGTTCTTTTCAACGTACCAATCCAAGAGCACCAAAATTGATAAATTGATTGGTGTGGGCCAGTATCAGGGGCGAACACAGCACCTGGCCAGCCCCCGCGGCCGCCCGTGCTGGATCCGTTGGGAGCTTCAGGAAGTTAGTCGCCGACTTGCCGTCCGCTGGGAAGAAATGAAGAAGGCGCCTGAATTTTTTTATTTTTTTTCCTTTTCTTATTGACATTGTTTCACTTGGCGAGGATGGAGGGAGCGCAACAACGCGTGCTAGCTCCGTCGGAATNTTTTTAATTAAGTTTCTTTAACGAACAGGGAACGAAATTTTGGTGCTGATTTTTATAATTTATTAATGCGCTTTCATAATATTTGGAACATTTGTTGAAATCTTCGATTTTTATAATTTATACCAGCAATTATTAACGTTTCTCGAACTATTTTTTTTTTTTTTACACAGTTCAGAAATGATAATTCTAATATTTTACGAGTATAGCAAGTTATGGAAAATAAATATTTTTGAGCCTCATCAATT